CAAAAAATAACCAGATTAAAAAAAGGACAAAGGGCTTGAATAGACATTTCTCCAAAGATGATATCCAAATGGCCAACAAGCATATGAAAAGATGTTCAACATCACTAATCCTTAGGGAAATGCAAATCAAAACCAAAGGAGCTATTTCCTCACACCCATTAAGATGCCTACTATACAAAGACATAGAAAATAATAAAATAATAAGTGGTGGCCAGAGTGTGGAGAAATTGGAACCCTTGTGCATTGTGGATGAAAATGTAAAATGGTGCAACTACTCTGCAAAAACAGTATGGCAGTTCCTCAAAAAAGTAAAAATAGAATTACCATGTGATCCAGAGATTCCACTTCTGGTATATATGCAAAAGAATTAGCATCTCTAAGAGATATTTGTACAACCATGTTCATAGCAGCATTATTCACAGTAGCCAAGAGGTGGGAGCAACCTGTGTCCATAGATGGGTGAATGGATAAACAAAATGTGGTAATACATACAATGTATATTATTCAGCTTTCAAAAGGGAAGGAAATTTTGACACATGCTACAACATGGATGAACTCTGAAGACATTCTGTTAAGTGAAATAAGCCAGTCATAAAAAGACAAATACTGTATGATTCCACTTATATCTAGAGTATTCACATTCATAGAAACAGAAAGTAGACTGGTGGTTGCCAGGAGCTGGGGGAAGGAGAGAGAGAGGATTTGATTAATGAGTTTCAGTTTTGAAAGATGAAAAGCTCTGGGGATTTCGTTGCTCAATAATGCAAATATACTTAACACTAACTACTGAACTGTACATTTAAAATGTTTAGGGTGGTAAAGGTTATGTTGTTTATTTTAGCACAATTGAAAATTTTTACAAATTAAAAAAGCAAAGGTAGAAATCTGAGTAGCACAATTGAAAATGTTTACAAATTAAAAAAGCAAAGGTAGAAATCCAATTTGCAAATGTTGTCCACTGTCCTAAACCTCTAGGTACCTAACTAATGGCTATTTTCCCCTCTTTCATAATAGCCAAGCCCTGAATGTATCTCAGTGACCATCCTTCCAGCACATGACTGGGGTAAATCCCAGTTGGCTTAAGTCAATCACAGTGGTGTCATTCCCCTTACCGGTGATGAGAGCTGGGCATGTGACCCAGTTCTACCAATAAGGTGTGAGGGGAAGTCATCTGGAGGGTTTGGAAAACTCTTCTTGGCTCTGACAATGAGACTAGTGGGGAGAAATGGCTATATTCCATTTCGGGACATTGGTTCATATCTGGATACGATGCCTGGAGCTGCTGCAGTACCTTTCCAACCAAAGGGCAGGCACAGGCACCAAAAAGATTGAAAGAATCTAGGATCCCAGTGTCATTGGGTTGGACATAATTTTCTTGCCTCCAGACTTTTTGTTATGTAAGACAACCCATACACTCATTGGTTAATCATTTTGAGTTGCATTTTAAAAGCTGCAGCTTGGAAGATCATAAATGATAGAGGAAAACACAAAAGTGTATAATTCAAATTTAAAAAGTCTTTTGCCAAATCTGACCCAGATGCAGGCTATTTATTACTCAAGGGGGTTCCCTAGTCTCTTGCATCAGCCCTACTTCTTATGGAAGTTCTCTCTGCGTTATTCAAACCAACTCAGCTCCCACCCTCCTATTTCCCATGTTTTAGGCCTCAGAGAAGGCTACAATCATCACTGTGTCCCATGTCAAGCATCAGACTACAGCGATTTCCTCAAAGATTTCTGCCTAAGAAGCACAATTATGTCTACAACTCTGAATGTCTATTTCTAGAAATGGTTTTTGTTACTGCCAGCTCTGCAACCGCTGCATTCAGCAACGGTCCTCCTTATCCCTATAAGATTCTTTGATATGAAGTCTGCTTTGTGTGATATTACTATCGCTACCCCAGCTTTTTTGAGTTGTATTAGCATGGTATATCTATTTTTACTTTTAACTTATTTGAACACTTATATTTAAAAAGAGTTCCTTTTATGCAGCATACAGTTGGGTCTTGCTTTTTTATCTAATTAACAATCTCTGCCTTTTATTTGCAGTAGCCACTTTCAAATGCTATAAAAAGAAAAAAAAAAAAAAGCAATTCTTTCTGCACCTAGGATTTTTTTCCCCCTAATGCAACACTAGAAAAATAGTTGTCATTCTTTACATAAATTTACATGGTGACAGCATGGGGTTTGGAAATGTGCCAGTGCCCAGCAAGGATGCTTGGGGTATGAGACGGGGCAATTTAGAGACTGTGAGAACTTCCACTAGACTTTTGCAGTAGTTCAGCCGGTATACAGAGGACTTGAACTTCAGGGTCCTCTGAAGAAGGTCTTTTCTACTGAAAGAAGAAACAAAAGTTGGTGACAGAATGGTTATAGTCACTAAGATTTCTCCTTCTGGGTCTCTGGGTAAGTCTTAGTCACCATTTCTTTACTGAAATTATGCAAAGAATAAAAAAAGTTCAGAGTGTCTGAAGTAGTAAGAAATTAGAACATTTAATTCAATCTTTCCCTTTATAATTGAGGAAAGGGAAGTCGGAAAAGTGAAATATTGTGCCCAGGTCATGCCCCTAGCTAATGGTGGAGGTTAGAATAGAACCAAGTCCTTTCTGGATTCCCAGAAAGACTGGAGAACCTTACTGGTTTAATGTTAACCTTTGTATTCCACTTTTTAAAAGAAGATACCTTTAATTTCTACTCTTCTCCCTTGCTTTGTGGCCCCACTCAGAGTCTGAGAAAAAACAACTAAAACAAAACAAACAAGGAAAATCATATAAGAACAGAATGAAACACATAGATAACAAAACAGATAGATGCACAGAGCACCTGGGACACATAGATAACAGAACATAGTGAAAGAAAATGAGACAAGATTTTCCAGGGAGGTGCCTGGAGTGTGGGAATATCAGCTCCATCTTGTGGCTTTTTTGGAGATTGCTTCTAAGGTTAATTTTTGAACCAGTAACCAAAACTTGAGACCCGACTATTTGTTGGGTGAGTAGATCTAGAACAATAGGTCTCAAACTTTGCTGTGCCTGAGAATCACCTAGAGAGTGTGTGAATATTCAGATTCTTTGGCCTGTATCCCAGATAGATGAATAGAGTGAAGTGGGCCCAAGGATCTGGGCTTTTAGAAAGCTCTCCAAGTGACTGTAAGACCATGAACCATATTCAAGAAAAACGCAGATGGCAGTAAGAAATAGTGGCATTCATTCCCTTGGCATTGTGGGGAAAGGACTATTCTGAAGAAAAGGTTGGAAGGAAAATGTTAAGAACTATAAAGGGTCAGAGATTTTAGCCTACTTGCAAACTGACTAGTCAGAACTGCCACTGTTTCATGAATGCTGGTAAATGAGACTCCTAGGCCAGAGTCAAAGGACAGTTATTACTAATAGCACTGGCAAGAGTCAGATTATCGTCATTTGGGCCAGTTTTCTGAGCCTTAAATCCAAGCCCATGTGATGAAGGCCACAGGAGGTTGCATTATAGGAGAGCCTAAAGACCTGAAGCTGAGGGAACCAGAATCTTCTATAATGGAGAGTTTGATGACCAGGCCTTTTATCGGAGGGAGACATTGTTTCTTCCCTCCAAGTCTGTTCACTGTAGAACATCCTTGGAAAGATAGTCCAAAAAAGGCAGTAAGTGCTTCAGCTCCATACAGAAACATTAAACATGTGGAAATTGTCTTCCAACTTGTTGGATGAGGGGACTGATAAACAACATAGATGCAGTCAGGCTCCCTCCCAGCAAGCGGTGCGGTTTCCGGGCAGCCCTGGATACAGCGTCCCAGGTGACCCTAGATACAGCGTCCTATGTAACCTTAGATACAGCGTCCTATACAATAAGTAGGTTGTAATTGATTATAGTACCTGGCCTTAAGCCACTATTATGCACCTTGTTATAAGAACAATCTCGCCTGTGCAGCCAGGGGATGGGGGAGGAGGCTGGAGCTGTGCCTGTGCCTTGCTGTGTCCTGCTATGCCGGAACAAAGCTATGTCGCATCTGCCCACCGCTCCTCGCATATTCTTCCAGCTGCCAGAACCACGCACCTCAAGCTTCGGTACCCCAAACATGCAGAACACAACTGAAACTAGGAAGGTAAGTGTGTCAGGGGAAAGGAATCCTACAACTCAAGGTTGTAAAGTGATCAAACTGAGCCAGGAAGGGGGAGTTGGAGAAATTGACCCTGTTACACTAGGCAAGAATTCAGCCGTTCCCATCGCTAACCTTTGCAGAAGTCCCTAATCTCTGTTTTAGTGGGGACCTGCCTAATGTCATAAGCACTTTCCAAATTTATTTCACTTTAATCCTCACATCTCATGGAGCCAAGAGATATTATTCTCATTTTATTCACTAAGAAATAGATTTTGAAAGATTGTGACTTGCAGACTTACTCAACCACAGGGCAAGAACCCGGTTTCCTCTTTAACCGGGGGTGGGGGTCCGGGGAAGGCGCAGGAATAAGACCGGTCAAATTAAGTAAACAACTAATGCAAGAGTGAGCACAGATCTGTGAAATGGCACTGTAAAACCTAAGTGGTGAAAACACAAACGGCACTGGAAGAACTAGACTCTACTTCGGAACCAGCAATTGGGGAGCTCTCGTTTCTCCTACCTCGTGGGCCTGACATTTCCAGGAATTGGTTAAGGAAGAGGTTCCTAGACTTCATTTCCCATTTCAAATCGGAAGTAGGTTTCCAGTGACACGGAAGCCCTACAGCACGGCTGGGGAGTTTCTTCCTCCCTAACCAGCTGGCCAGTTCAGATCCGGCGGTCCCGCGGAGCAAACGGGCCCGCCCCGCTC